GATCTACTACCTAATTATTACATAATAACATGCATTATTGTTAATATTATGTTCTGCTTACATTGTTCAGTAGTAGGAGTGCATGTACTAGTGGGAGTAGGTGAAGCTATTCTTGTTGATGAAATGCTCACTATTATAAAAATGAATGAAGCAAGTACTAATTAATAATTGCTTACAGGAAGGTAATGTGGATTGTGTTGTTCCTATTAACAGTAAAGTATCATAAATAAGATAATACCTTTATTATAACTGTACCTCCAGTAGTGGAATATGTGACATGTACTGTGGTAGAGACATGCACAATAGTACTGATGATACCTGAGGAGGAACAAGAATGATAACTATAGCTACTGCATAGCTGAAAATAATGGCAGAAATATAACTTGGTATTATGTTAAATCCTAGACTTTATACTCATTTAGCAAACAGTGAGATATTCCAAAGACTTTGTGAATCAGTCCAAAAATAAATTTGTGGCTTTAATTTCTACTTTTTGGGCATATTGAACCCTCAATTTTAGGAGATACTTTTATTGTCATGAATTTTGATAAAACATAAATTTCTAAAAACTTTTGGCCACAAAAGATCATGTACTCACTATAATTATTTTATGGTAGGAATAGGATACAAACTGATATTCCCCATTGTTTCTTTAACCTAGCACACAGTACATTAACTAACTTATTGTAGCTGATGCAATTACACCAGTTCCTAATACATTGCTAGCAGCCACTCCAACAGTATATACTGATCCTACTGTAGCATCAGGTATATTGTATGCAGTGGTAGGAGCTATTGTTGTTGTTATAGTTGTATCAGGGTCAGGAACATTATGATATATTATATAGTCTGATACATTAGGACGAGAAGAATAAGGTGGCTAAGTAAGATTATATTGATTACATTAATTATTGTGCAGACTAATTTATATAATTTACTTCATTCCATGATACAGTAATATTAACAGTATCATCATCATCTTCAGGAGAAGTCTGACCGAGCATCAAGTTCATAACAAGTTGAACTATTTTAAATAATAATAAGTAAATGTTATCTCACACTTACCATTAGGTGTAAATTTTATTACATTTAGAGGATCCATATATCTACCCCCAGTATCAACAGCTACTACACTAATAGAATATTCTGTATCATTAGTTGAAGGTACTGGTAAACTCAGACTAGTATCAGTAGTCACGTAGGTAACATTACTAGCTGAACTAGTAATGCTAACAATGTAACTGGAGAAACAATGGCTGTTTGATTGTGGAATCCAGGAAACATTAAAATAGTTAGAATAAATCAATAATTGATTAGGAACAGGAACAGGCAATATATCTAAAATGAGATAATGATTCTAGATACATATTATAATAGAGTGAATTATGATGGTACCAAAAGGAAGTACATGCACACCTTGTACCGATATAGAACA